CGGGGGGTTTGAGGCTTTATGGTTTACAAAAGGCTCAGGCTTCAGGGTTTAGGGCTTAGGGTTTACAAAGGGTTCAGGGAAGCTGTCGAAAGTGGGGGTTTGGGGCTGGGGCTGTGAATTCTTGGGCGACGGCCTCATGCCCTACATCCTGAACCCCAATCGACCCCAGCCCCTCAATTCCGAGTGCTGCGCCGAGATCATGGCTGATTCTTGTGCTGCAAGCTGGGGGATAAGGGTTCGAGGGGCTGAGTATGAAAGCTCTCTCTAGGGCCAGCCATCTCTCCGTTGCCCGCCTTTTCTTTGCACGCCCGCCAAGCAAGGCCTCGTGGCTGAAGACGAATTCTAACGGCCAAAACCCTGAAACCTCAATTTCCAAACCCTGCAATCTTAGATTACAGTCCGATTGAATCCGAAGACCCGGAAACCCAACCCTATCACCTCAGCGCCAAACCTTGAAGGTGCTTTCGGGATTTTGGTATGTAAGGCTTTAAGAGGATTCACCCCTGTACCGTGCAAGTGTCGGGGCGTTTTTGTGCTTGATTCTTCAAAAGCCGCATTGATTCCGTGTGTGAGGTTTAGGGCTTCGGGGACTGAAGGCTGAGAAGCTTCCCTGCTGAAGATTGACAGCTGAAAGTTTGCGGTTACCACACTCGGCAAAAAAGTAGCAAAGTGTGGAATCGCATGATGTACGAAATCAGGATTCGAGAATGGTCGGAAACTCGAGGAGATGTTTAAAGCTTGGAAGGCAGCAGGAAAACAGAAACGGGAAACAAGTTTCGTAAAAACCTGCAGTTGAGATTCTTGCTGGTCGCAAATCGAGAAACGCATGAAACCTGTAAGAATTCGTGGCAAACGGAAGTCTACTTGGCGTGTCCGGGACACCAACATGGTGACCCTCTGTCAGAAATGCAGCAAAGCACAAAAGCAGGCGCGGATTCTGCATAATAGCAGAAAAGCTCACAGAAGAGCTCTGAAATCCAGGGCTATATAACTCGTCCTGCTTCTCGGGTGAATCAAAACCTACACTGCCCCTAGGCTCTAGACTCTGGGCTACGATGGATTCCAGAGAGCTTCAACACTGACTGAGGATCCTTAATGCCAGAGAACCTCACTTTGCTTCCAGAACATAAGGATAGTGATGCTCGAACTTTCTGGCAACTGCTGCAAGCCCTCAAGACTTGCTGACCTGAGCCCGAGACGTTGCCCGCCGCGCTTCCGGGTGCATCGTAGAGCGGGTCCCCAAGATCCTCCGCATGGAGGATCTGGGGTTGGGTGCGATGGATGGAGTGCGGGGCAGGGGAATTCCAAAAAAAGCCACCAAACCAAGTTCCCAGATGCTTCTAAGCACTCGTGAAGTTGTCAATTCGTTTTCGAATTGTTCGAGCTTGTCTTCTGTTTGGCATATAAAGTCCGCGGGCTTTGGATGCAGCATGATGCAGTCTCGGACGGTAGACGGCAAAACCTCAGAACATGCCTTGTCTAACCTTCCACGTCCCCGCAAATGGTAACCCCAATCGCCGACCTCGGGAGACGCGGAGGGACGGCTGGGAGACCTGAGCCGATGGGATGTGCTCAAGGCTGACAAGCATTTGACAAGGGTCTGAACAGGGTCTGAATGGGTCTGAATGTTTTAAGGTAGTCAAGGTTTTCAGAAGTGTTCAAGGAAGGGTGAAGAAACAACTTGGAGCCGCAAAACAAGGTTTACTGCAGAGCTTCGGGCTTGCAGCTGAGGGTTGAAAGCTCTGAGTTTGTAGGGTTCAAAGCTGAACGTTCAGGACGAAGGGCCTGCAGGCTGAAGGCTTCAAGGATTCAGAGCTCAAGGCAAAGGCACCTCTGGGCAAATGCTGGGAGATGCACCAGCGAACATATAACGACATCAGTCTTTTGTTGTACTTCAGTTGCTGCGGCGTCAGGCTGCTGCCGCTCGTTTTGAACGGAGAGGGCAAGTCCGCAAAGTGCTGTTGCAAAACAAGCTTGTGTGTTTTTGTGGCATTAAGATTGCCTTCGTACTCCAGCCAAAAATCCAACAGTTAAGTTTTCTTGAAGCCATAACACGCCCATGTTTAGTAGGCAGTTCGTCAATTCTCACCGACCCGAAGAGTCTGTGAACGAATCGTTGGCTTCTCAACCCAAACCCTCATCAGAAACCCCAAACCTTAAGCCCTACTAACCCCGCCACCATAACATCAACCCCGAGCGACACAGCCCTTTGACATTGTTGGGGGCCCAAGCCGATCTGAAGACTCCTCCTTGGTATCAGGGAGCTTCGAGGAAGACATGAGCTTTGGGGATTCGGAGCTCTAGCGGAAGCTTTTTCCGCCGCAGTAAACCCGAACCCTCCAGAACTTCTGAACCTTCGCTGCGCAGCCTACATCCTACCGACATCTGTTTGAAGGCAGGCCGTGCACGCGTCAATACGGCGTAGAACCTTCTATTCCCTGAGCATGTATGAGTATGTATCTGCAAACACATGTGTTCATGTTTATCTCTAAGTATGTGTCCAAAAAGGGCAGTTCTCTAAATGAGGGTCCCTTTTCTTGGATCCCCAAAATAGTACGGCACCCTTTTTAAAAGGGATCCTAACAGGAATGCATGCCAGGCCCAAGCCGCTTTTGTGCAGCGACCTGCAAAGCCGACCAGTGAACCGACGAGCGCAGAACTTATTTAGGGTTTAGGGTTTAGGGTCGCAGACCTAAGCCTCGGAATAACCCTGACCGTCCCGAGAAATGCCTGAAGTATCTAACCGGATGAAACGGAAAGATATGCTTGATTGTTGAATCTCAAAGCAAACTCTAATACCCTTTAAAGCCCTGAGAACTAAATTCTATCAGGCGAGCCATAAAACTCTAACTCCAGCCGCAATTCCTGACCGTGTGGGTCTCAAGCCTCATAACCCTGAAAGCCTAAACCCTAACGTTCTGCCAGGAAACCCCTTATCCCAAAACTCTAACACCCTACGCCTCGCAAGCCCGAAGCCAAAACCCTGAACCCTGGGCCCCAAAAGTTTCTCCCAAAGCGGTAAAGTCGAGGCTGCTGCTGGCTCGAACTGGGAAGCCCCACCTGCGCCCAGCGGCAAGAATTTGGGCTTGGTGCATCTGGAGAATTTGGGGCCTTGGATGGAGTTTAGCTCCGTGCTTGGGGGATGGTATTACTGCACTTTTGCAGATCGTAATTACAATAATTGCAGACAGTTTCTTAATATTTTGTAATTTGGGCATGGGTCTCCAAATATTTGAGGATTGGGACACTAGGGGTTGAAGCGTCAGAAAGCTGATGCGTTACACTGATTCAGCTACGGCACAGGCGCACACAAGAATAGTGACTGGCGAGAGCGTCAGGGAAATGTGTGATGGAAAGGGGGGGCCAGGAAGTTGCCTTGGAAAATGCAGCAAACAGCTTGGTAAACCCAACAACACCCTCAGCCAGTACGAGGACTCAGAACTACGAAATCATGTTCAGTTCAAGAATACACAGCAAGACGCTCTGCATGGCCTTGACTTGCTAGGTCAAATTGCGAAAGTCATCGGCAGCAGCAGCAGCAGTAGTAGCAGCAGCAACGACGACGACGACCACAACAACAAGAACATCTACTACTACTACTACTACTACTACTACTACTACTACTACTACTACGACGACTGCGGCTACGACTAAGACTTGACGTTCGGCCTGTGTCGTCGATGAGGAGCCCTTCAGGCGACTCGCTGATGACACGGGCAGCTGGGACATTCCGGACCTCTGAGCCCCAGGGCCAAAAGCTGTTACAGGTTTAGGGTTTAGGGTTTAGGGTTTAGGGTTTAGGGTTTAGGGTTTAGGGTTTAGGGGTTTAGGGTTTAGGGTTTACATCATAAGAAGCCGGCCATACATCAATGCCTACGCATGTGTAACATCTATCTTGGGTACCATATCTCTGCAAAACCGTGAATAACATCTGCACAATGCATACTGTGCAAAGTGTGCAAACCATGTACAATAACATGACCGCGTAATATGTAAACTACGTAAAAAGTCGAACATGTATAGCAGGTATAGCAGCATAGCATGTCTAATGTGCAACGTACGAAAAAGTTCATATCTTCAAAACCATGCTCATCTTCATCCTCATTTGCCATTTTCCTGTTTATCTTCCCCAATCGGAACATTACGCCCAGACAGTTGAAACCACCGGGCTCGAACCCCCGAAACCTCCAAACAAATCTAAGCGTGGAACTCCCAGGCCTAGCTTTCTAGCTTTGTGTTCGGGCTTCAAGAGCTTTGGTTTGAGTTCGCTGATGTAAGGGCCTACTAGGGTTCAAGGATGTAACGATTACAGCGAATCCCAGAAAGTTGGAACATGGGTCTAGGAGGATTATGATTAGTGCTAGAATCCCTTATACTTTACGTTAAGGGCATGAAGATAATGATGTTCCAACTTTCTGGCTTCTACTGTATGAGCTTTTCAGACGTGTAGGGTCTTAAGTTTCAGGATTCAGTGCGTAGGTTTGGGGTTGAGGGTATATGGAAACCTGGAAGTTCTGAGGCCGCCGGCGCCAATGGCTCCCGGAGGAACGGATGAAGGAGGCGGCGCCTCTATGACCAACCCCGGAAACCAGAATCCTCAGAATTTCAAGCCTTCGGGATGCATCTTCATAGGATTTAGCATGCTGTCTTACGAAGTTCTGTAGAAGCTTATATATATATATATATACATATATGGGTTTCGGTGGGAGCAAACACTCCAAACATGCGTTGGCCGGGTCTTGTTTAGGCTTGGGCCAGCGCATCCCTCGTTCCTTCGTCCATTGTATCGACTCTAACGGGGAAGCCACACTAAGCTACGACACCTATGCATGCACATAGATGAAACTCGCATAAAAAACTTTAGCATAAGCATAAATATATAAATCATATTATATACATATATACACACAACCAAACACACTCACACGTGCATGCCAGAAAAAACGCAAGCTGCGGGCCCTGAACCCCTGATCCCCCAAACCCTAAGCCCCAAAAAACGGCGGGAACCGAAGCAATTGAGCTTGCACCATTGCAGTAGCCCATATCTATACTGAACTTAGACCCCTAGCAAAAATCATAATTTAGCTGCTTCTTAGGGTTTATAGTAGCCAAAGATTAAAAGTTATTTCTAAGTACCCCTAAGTATAGCAGGAACTCTTAGACTCCTGTAGCCTACAGGCAAAGCTCGGCATGGCCTTTGGCCGTCCGTCCTCGTCCTCGACGCCCATGGCGCGAAGAACCTCCGAGATGTCCTGGCAGGACTAAAGGCTGAGGCGTTTGGCTTTTGGAGTGCAGGGCTGGCGGAGGGTTTGGGGTTTAGATGTTTGGGGTGTAGGGAAAAAGACTGCAGTCGGGGATTTGAAGTTTGGGACGTGAGCCCTGTCACATTTCACAGGGCTCTGGTAATGTTTTGACCCTGAAACCCAAAGGCCTGAGACCCAGGGTGCCGACGACCCAGAAAGACCAAGACTCCTTACTCACATAGAGAAGCCTGCATAGCTGGAAGTGTATTCCGATCCAACAACTGTCAAGTTGGCCGAAGCAGTTTCGGGAGTATTCCTCAAGTAGAACCATATAGATGAATTTCATCTTCGGGGCAACATAGAAATCTGAACATATAGCAATAACATCCCCATTTAGTCCATTTATGAAATACAAAAAAAATAATCTAGCCCAAAGGTCCTGTCGAACTATGAAGGCAAATCTACAACAACCTACAACAACCGAATAAGCCGTTCAAGCAAGACAAAATCCTTAAAACGAAAGCAGTCCATAGGGGTCGGAGGAATTTGGATCGGGTTCCCATAAGCTATATATGATAAAAGTCACATTAGCCGCTTGGGTTTTCCGGGGACGACCGTAGACCCGCCTCCACCAAGGTGATGAGCTCATCGAGCTCCTCGGAACTTTGGGGATCTGCTTCTAAGCATTCAGGCGGGGCTCGGTATCAAAAACGATCGAGGAGGTCTGTAAAGGGAGTTGCGAAGGTTTAGTGTAAGTCACGTTAAGGACGTGATTAAGCTCTGAAGCCACAATCACAAAGGGTGTCGATCTTCCGACTCTGTTCTATAGTCCTGGTTCAGATACATTTTCGGAACCGACAAAACTCACAACAAGTTGTGAACCTTCAGGTGAGCCTTAAACTCAAAATCCTAAAACTCTGAACACGCGATCCGACTTGCGCTGAACAAGCTTTCATAGCAAAATCGGCGAGCTGATGAAGTATGGTTACAAGTAAGATGGCCCTCACTTAAGACACGTGTGGCCCCATTTCCAGGCTGCCAGGTACCGTCACCCTCCAGGTATAGAGCCCGGAACCCCAACCCTCAAACCCCAAAGCTAAACTCCCAAAAATGCTAAAAGCAGTAGAACTCGAAGTCGGAACTCAACAAAACCATTACTGAGCCTTGCTGTGTAATGTCATTCCCTTTACAAAACCCTTGTACAACAGCAAAGCCTTCCTAAGTTGATATAGAGCCTGCTTGTCCAGCTTCCTCAAAGGTGCACCTTTCGGGACTCTATCGGGACTACACCCTATCCATAACAACGCTAAGTTGCTCGCCTACTGCGAGATCCCTCTTGGAACCATCGTATGGTAAACTCCAAAAAGTTGGAAACCGGATTAAGGACAAATAGTGCTGGGATGCCTTATACACCACTCTTAAGGATTGAAGCTATTGGGTTTTCAACTTTTAGGCTCCTACTGTAAATACAGGAGAGCCTGCGGGTCGAAGTCCCGGCCCTGCTCCAGTGCCTGACGGGTGCGGGTGCGGGGCTCCCAGGATGTTACGGGGGGGGGTTTAGGGTTTAGGGTTTAGGGTTTAGGGTTTAGGGTTTAGGGTTTAGGGTTTAGGGTTTAGGGTTTAGGGTTCTTGTTTGGACGAAGGCGGCTCAACGGTTTCGACCGTTTTTGTTGCCGGAGTTTGGGGCTTGGACCCGTAGCTTGTCGGGAGGTTTGGGGCTTTAGGATAAGGGCTGGGGGTATGGGCCTTGGGGGTTTGGGGTTCTTCATTGGGGCTTTGAGTACAATGCTTTCGGGTGATAACGCTTCACAAAGCTTGAAGACGCATGCAGCACGATCGTGAATACTCCAGTGACTTGTCTCGGTCAAGGTAGAAGGTAATCACCTTACCACCCTTCCTAAACTGGAACCCAAAGTCCTAACCCACAGCCCCAAGGCACTGAACCTTTTCCACATCCGCGCCCCCCTCAAAGCTTGAACTTTCAAGCTCTCAACCGGAGACTCAACTTGTCCGACCGGGTTGCCTGCACCAGCTGCTCAACCCGCTCCGAGGCATCAGCACGCGCGCCCTCGGAAAGAGGATTTCGAGCTCAGGCCGTGGATTTTGTAAGCTTTAAGGAATCGGCATCAAAGATCGGGGTTAAGGGATTTCGGGCTAAAGCTTTACGTAAGGTTTTGGGCTTTGCCAAGAAGCTAGCTCTGACTACGGAACCCCTATGTGAAATCCTGGAATGGGTGTCCGGGCTGCTGAGGAATGAATTTTATCTAGATTCTACTTGTCCTTTGTCAACCAGTTTAAGAAATCCTGCTAGTTGAGGAATGATAGGTCTGATAGGTCCTCTGGAGCAAAGGTGCAGATGTCAGAACCCTCGACTACGCGCTAGGCATCCGGGCAATCATCCGGGCGATCTCCTGCGAACAGATCGACGTGCGTGGTGACCGTGGCTCGTACTACTTGGCTTCAGTGATCAGAGCTGTTTTCTGGCATGGCTCAACGATTGTGCTGGGCGTTTCGAGGTTGTTAAACAACTTCTTGAAGGTTTTGTAGGCATATGCTTCACCACTCGAAAACGATGTTTCACTTTCAGAGAAGAACTTATGTTCGCCGGCGGTTTTTAAGTTTTCGGGATCAGTGTAGATCACTGACTAGTGCCAGTAAACCGCCCATGTGCCCTCATGTTCCGATCAGAGCTATACTCCTGATTGAAGGAAGGGTTTGTTTCCGAGCCTGAGGGCAGACATCCTACCTAACTTGACATGCCTGGTTTCATATGATGGTGATCATACCAACTAGCTAGACGCTTGGGCGTATGAAACACAAGTGCGAAGCGACGCATCTCATGTCTTGTCTTGCGCACGGCACTGAATTCAAAAGTCGACACCAACGCCAGCAAACACGAGTAGCTGTGCTCTCTTTACTCACGCAGGCCCCTGATCATAGACTTTAGCTCTCTGAACAAAGATCATACCAGAAATCCTCATACTATGGCCGCGGCAAGAAAAAAGGGTTTCGGCAGGCATTAGCCCAAACCCTCTAAACCTGTATGACACCTCTACTGTATGGCACCGTGCTAGAACCGCTAGAAAACTCCAAACCCCTCTACAAAAGCTCCAAAGCTAACTTGGAAAGCCCGATTCCTTCTCCGGCCTCGTCCTCTGCCTCTGCCGAAGGTCGTGCCGGCCGTGGCGCCGGCGCGCTGGTCGGTGCCGGAGTGTCAGCGGACGGCGTGGCGCCGGCGAGGTAGGCCGGGCCTTCAGTCTTGGTTCGATAGGCTTCGTCAGGCTTTAGGGTTGGGGTGTAGAATTTAGGGTTCGGGGTGGAGTGTTAATCAACGTCACGATGATGACTATGCTACTGAACATTCAAGTGATCAACAGGATCACCATGCGCGGAAATATCTTGACGTCACAGCCGGACACTCTCAGCACCGACTCGTCATCTTGAGAGGTGTAAAGGACTCACTTGCGGAGTCGCATTGACAATGGATGCGATACTCCGCCGACAGAAAAAATATCTACATACGTCCGCATACACGCCATGAGTGTATAAGCAGCACAGCGTTTCAAAACAGAAACAGCCATGACTGTCGCTCTCGAGGTGCGTATCAGTAGAAATACTGCCGGGACGGCTACTTCACTTCAACCAGGATGGTTCTTGTTGATGCAGGACAAGGAACACTAGCTAGGAATGACAGTAGCAGCGTAGCAGCAGCAGCAGCAGCAGC